CGTCCCTCTCATCATTACAATCTGCAAATACAAACGTGGATTGCCGTCAGTCTCAATTTTTTTTTTTTTTTTTTTTTTTTTGGGGTCCAATTTCACTAGCAAAAACACTTGTTGTGAACTAAATATTAAATATTATGATCAATTAAAATGCAATCAGTTAGTGATTCTTAAAATAAATGTAATTGTGAAAATTAAATACATTTTATTTTTTTAGAATAATTTTCTTTTTTTGTGACATATAAGTTCATTATCATTTACGAAAGCTATCTAACAAACAATTCCACAAGTCAAATTGTTTCAATTCATTCTAATACAAATGTTAAAAAGCTCATACTTATCACTAATTGGCTATAAGAAGGATATGACAATAGATAACTAAAGAATTCCAAGGTTAAGCGTGCTTGACTTACAAGATGGGTGACCTGCTGGGAAGTAAGCATAATGCAACACTAAAATCTATCACACGTCCGAATCTAGGCGTAGGTCGAGCCATGTCTAGTCCCGGGGTAGGGTGGGGTCAACCGAGTTGGCCCCAGTTCAGCCTAATTTATTGAAAAATAAGTACAATTATTGTGACTAAAGTGTTGTCACTAGATCAATTTTTTGTAGTAACATATTTGGTCTCAAATTATACATTTATTGTGACAACTATCGTTATCACTCAAATATTACGTTTAGTGTAAGTAAATATTGTCACAAAAGGAGTGAGTAATTGTGACAACTTTTCAAAAGTTGTCACTACTACAATAGTGACGACTTCAAAAATTGATCACTAATTTTAATAGTGACAAAATTGATAGTTTCGGTGACAACTTTTGTTGTCACTAAATGTCAAATTTCTTGTAGTGTTCAAACTAAACTCAATAGTTCCAAAAAAGAAAAATGTAAAAGCAGATTGTTGATGCAATTTAAAATCAATAGTTAAAAAAATTGAGTTATATTTTCCGTTGGATGAAAGTTCAATTCTACCATTCGAACTAAATTCAAATTAGTTCAATCAAATTATCAGTCAATAATTTTTTACTTATAAATGATTACTAGTTCTAGCATGTTACTTTATAATCATGTCCATTTTGAGGGGAAAAACTTAAAAAAAAAAAACTCCACCACTAAGAATGCTCTTATGAGTTATAGTGTTTATTGGGAGAAGAAATGAGTTATAGTGTTTATTCTTTTATTAAAAAAATAAAATAAAAGTTTAGTGTCTTCCAAATTCCATGTTTGGGAAGAAGGTCAACTGTTAATTAAAGGAAAACTTCAATAGCAATGGTTTTTTAATTTTGTTTTGTTTTTTTTTTGTGTGGTTTTTGAGGTGACAATTAGGAGAGAGATGAGAGAAAGAAAAGAAGAAGAAAAGGAAAAAAAATATAAAAAGTATGCTTGATGCAAAAAAAAAAAAAAAACAAAACAAAAAAACAAAAAAACAAAGCAGTTAATGTCGTGCACGCGCCCACCGCCTGTACAGTTCACGCATGTAATTGTGCCTTTTTTCACTTTCTCTCATACAAACCCCATGAAAAAACAATCTCTTGCATGCAGTCCCTAAATCTTCTCTCTCGTCCTTCTCTCTCTCCCCTCCACATAAGCTATGATTTTCTCAAAAAATCAATCTCTTGCATGCGGTCCTCAAATTTGTCTTTTTTCTCAAGTTTAAAAATTTATAAGAAACATCGAAAATTTAATTAAACTTCTTCAAATAATTTGAATATTTTTTAGCACTTTCTCCTCGTTATCACATTTGGATATTGATTCCACTCATCTCCCGTTCTTGTGGGCCGACAGATCCCCGTTTGTGAGGGAGACAATAACCAAACTATGTAATCCTAATTAAGCTTTGTTAGGCACCCAGTTTTGCATTATTTAATTTGGGAAAATGATACATACATTCTCATAATCTCAGAGAATAAAACTATTATCACATATCATAATGATAGAAAAAAAAAAATCCCAGCCAAGCAGAACAAGCCATCTAAGGTCCAGATAGCATTATACACCCTGGATTGAAACAACGAGGTACAAAATTCATACTTATAAAGTACAGAATTTCAAACACAAGCACATACACGTGGTACATATTTACTTATTTTTCAAATTTGATTTAGGTACATAATTGTGTTCATAGGCACAGAATTTCACAATTGAAGCATGTGCTCCATCTCAACTAAAAGCCTAAGCTCATAGTTGGATATATGTATAACACGTGGACGGTCCCGTTGAGATTCGAACCCTAGACCTCATAGTTGGATATATGCATAACACGTGGACGGTCCCGTTGAGATTCGAACCCTAGACCAAAGGTCTGGCTCTGATACCAAACTGAAGCATGTGCTCCATCTCAACTAAAAGCTTAAGCTCATAGTTGGATACACATTAATGGATATATGCTCACATTCACAACATAAGACAAAAAATTCATCACATAAGACACAATTACTAATTTGTTTCGGGTACAGAATTCATACTCTTAAAAAAAAAAAAAATCATAACGCAAGACATAAAAACTGGATACACAATACACTGTGAATCTTGGTCCATGGTATAAGAATCGACCAAAAAAATGAGATATGTATAATATTATTGTTTAATTATTGAGTTAATACCCAAAATCGTCCTCGACTATAGTGGTTTTTCTCAATTTCGTCCTAAACGATTTTGGTGACCTAATATCGTCCCAGACTTTTGTATTTCGCTCAATTTAGTCCCAGACTTTTGTATTTTTGCTCAATTTAGTCCCTCATTTGTTATTCTGTCCATTTGATGTTAAATAAATAGACAATTCCGTAATTTTAATATTGGCATCTCTTTACTCATAGACATGTGAACTGCGAATTTTTTTTTTTTTACGAATTACTCCTAAAACTGCGAATATAAAATTTGATTTGCATGTCCGGGAGTAATTCTGGGTGTAATTCGTACAAGAAAGATGAATTTTGCACTTCACAAGTTGAAAGTAAAGAGAGATCAATATTGACATTACTGAATTGTCCCTTTATTTAACACCAATTTGACAGAATAACAAATGGAGGACTAAATTGAGCGAAACACAAAAGTCTGGGACGATATTAGGTCACCAAAGTCGTTTAGGACGAAATTGAGAAAAACCACTATAGTCGAGGACGATTTTGGGTATTAACTCTTTAATTATTATTTAGTGGCTTAATGTGAATAAGAACAAAACTATGTGGTGCCATGATGTCTGGGTAGGCAAGTCCACATGCAAAATTGGACTTGGAATGTACCAGGGGCATGGGATAAAAATAAATAAATATAAATAAATAAAGGTCAAAACATTATATTTTAGGCGGCAGAGTTGTATATAAGAAGCATATCATATGAGCTTGGGTTCCATTCAAAGTTACGTTGTGTACTCCATCTCTATAGTATTGAGCTTTCTCAGCCATTTGTGACGTGATTAGCGGAGAGGCCGCCGGCCGCCGGAATCTTACCGGAAAAGAAAGATGATGAAAGTGGGGAAGATGGTGGAGTTAGTTGCAGAGTGGGGAATGGTGATGGGGAGGATGACAGACCAAATTCTACTTATTATTGTCCCCACCAGGCGTCCTTCTTTCCTCTCATCAACACCTCGCTATTCTTCATCCTCTTCTCAACATTCTTCTTCCTTTATCCTCTACTTTTGATTTAGTATACCTTTTCTTGGTTTTATTTTCCAAAATTTCATAAAATCAGAGAAGCCTAAAGCTCGACCACGAGAGTATTAGCAAGAAAATTAAGATTGGAATTGATGCCTCTCAACCTTGTATTATAGCCTTGTTATGCTTCATCCCTTTCGAGACTAATGTTCTTCCATTTTGTATTATAACTTCGTTGTAATTTATGGACTTGTCATGCACAAGTATTTGCTTTTATTAAAAAATAAAATATACAAACATCTTTTTATTTACGGAGTATCTCTTTTGATTAAATTACAAGCGTTCTTATATCAGGAGTTTATGAAGTAAATTATAGCACGAATCTTGAACCATTGGTCAATATATACAAAAATTACTGTCAAATGTCAAGAAAACATGTTAGACATATGGTCTATATTTTAATTAATTAAAATTACCCAAGTTTAAATTATTTGCTCTTCTAAGGGCATTGCGGCTGATGGACTGAACTCTATGCGATGGTTCACATCTTTCTTGGTGCAGTGGCATCAACAATTCTACTATTATACTCCTTTCAAATAGTTTGAAGTTTGAATTTTTACTTGTTTTAGAATAAGTTAACAATGTGTTATTTATTATATATATAAACTTTAACCGGTTCAGTATCAATTTTTATTATTTAAAATTTCATATATTTAAAGTTTTATAGTTATTCAAGATGGATTGACCTATTCAAGCACTTCACCCGCACTTCAAATCTTCAATCCATATCCATATTTAGCTATATAACTCGTAATCAATTTGAATGTTGGAACATGTGTTAATGGTGACCCTAGCCATCCAACTATTTCACCAACTTTCAACACAGTGATTACAAGATTTTGAAAGGGGTAAAACAAAGCATTAGAGAAGCCAATCCAATCCTTTCAATTTTCTTTATTTCTTTTTCTCTATATCCTACTTATCATTAATAATAATAATAATAATAATAATAATAATAATAACAACAACAACTAGGTGCAGATTCATGAACTGTACAAATTTGTGTAAACATTGCATGAGTGAACAAAATGATTAGTACAACTGCTCACGTACCTCAATTATTCGATGTGCATGTACCCTTACTACTTCAAACTCAACAAGAACCCAATTTCAGTTCATTATATACAAACTTGATTAGATACGAAATAATGCCCAACTTTGATTAACAAGACTTGAAATCAAACAACTTAATTTTGATATTGACATTTTTACAAGGACCCACAGTCTAGAATAACTAATCATCAATTGTCACACTGAGTAGAAATAAGGAGTACATGTAGTACAACTCTTCTTGGAGTGGCAACAAAATGAGAGGTTTAATTTGAAAGAGCTGAGAAATTAGACTAAATAAAGCAAAATAAGACAAGCTTTCTGCATAAAAATGATTTGAGTTCAAGAAGCACAAGTAGCCAGTTGAGAAAATTATAATGAAAAGTTAATGTCAATACAAAATTCAATGGGGAGGATACTGTAACCCAAAAAATTTTAAGTGGTGAGCTCCATAATGGCACTGACAATGTCTCCATTGTTGGTCTTGAGAGCCTTAACAGCCTTGGACCTGGAAACACCTGCTTGTGTCATGACCAAATCAATGTCGCGAGGTTCCACTCCAGTCTCGTCAACCTCCTCTTCTTCCTCGTCTGCCTGCACAACAGCAGGAGTGGTGGTGGAGGCGTCTGGCTTAGGAATGACGGAACCCACATCTGGCATCCTGAACTGCTGGGCAGCCTGTGTCTGGAGCTGAGAACTCAAATCTTCTATCTTGGCCTCCCCAAAAATTACATAAGTCTCTGAGTTTGGGCTCTTGAAGACATCAGGCTTTGAGATGAAGAATAGTATCTGTTGCAGTTGTTATTAAGACAGTCAACACCATTAATTACAAATACAAAAAATAACCAGCATGAAACGAGAAAAAACAGATATAAAAAGCGTACATACATTCTTTGTTCTCTTAATAGTAACTCGGCTGACACCTGGAACAGGCTTCATGCCAAGTTTCAACATGGCTTTACGACTCTTCTTCTCACTCCTGCTTTGCTTTGAACTTTCATTACCAGCTGCAATAAATAAACATCATTATACTCCAATAGAGCAAACATATACAATTCACAACACACACACACACATACATATATTACAGACTAAGGGAATAAGCCAATAACCCTTGGTCAAGGACAGGCAATAGCTTAATCGCCCAACCCCATAGATGTTCCCTCAAAATAACTTTTATTTGTGAAAACATCATGGTTGGACCTTATCCCATGAATAAGAATCAGCAGGGTTGCAAATATAATTCCAGTACTAAAAGAAGTAACACAGGCACAATGTCAGAAAAGACATAATGAGCCACCATGAACAAATTTCAGAGATAATGTGTGCAACTCATTGCCAAGAAAACGGACCATATAGCAGCTATGCATTTTGCACAACTAACTAATTTCAGTCCCAATTGCTCTTCTCCAACACACAATAACAAGTCTATGACATTTGGAGACAATCAAATAATCCAAAGTGATGGTCCAAGACTAAACCTACTAGCATCTATGAACATCATAGACATAAGGAACATTCACATTGCAAGAATAAGCTATTCATGCAAAGATGTTTTATGAACAAGCATTTGAACACACTTCCCAGTCATCAGAGTAATGTACATGTACATTATGATAAAAATAGCCTCCTTTTCGCAAGGGTTAATTCAATAATAATAATCACACAAATGTTTAATTTATTGAACCAAAACTCACTGACTTAGTATTAACTGGATGTAGACTCTAGAAACTAAAAACCTAAAAATCCATATTTATAGCTGGCATATACACTGAAAGAAAGATATTGAAACACTACAACAGTAGGGGAGGAAGGGATGAAAAAGACCTTGGGCTCCATCCTCCTTGTCATCCTCATCATCGTCGGAATCATCGAGGTCATCGTCGTCGTGTTCTTCTTCCTCCTTAACATCTTCCACCAGTGGCGCATCATCCTGTCTCATTATATCGAACAATTATTTGGAGAAAAACATTTTCTTCCGCATACGAAACTTGATAAATGTAAAGTAAAATAGAAAACAGAGGATAAGGTTGAAGGAGGGAGGTGCACCTGCAGCTTCTTCTCAGCCTCGAGGACTTCCTCGACGACAGGAGCCGGCGTCATCGTTGTTGTTTTCCGGTGGTTTTGCGGTACCTAAAACTTGTGGAAGAAAGAACAGAGAAGAGTGGTGCAAGGATAAGCTACGTAGCAAAAATAGGGTTTGAGATGAGTTCCGTTTTAGTGTTCCAAAGATGGGCTGGAGTTAACAAATTTGCATCAAATAGCCCACTTACTTTAAGGCCTTTTTAGGGGTTTTTTTCCCTCATTTTTAACAATTGTTATGCTATGGACCCGTATCGAGCAGTGTGGACACGGTAATGGTGTCGTTAGTGGCACCGTTATCTTCCACTTTTTTTTTAAAAAAAAATTAAATCGCTTCGTTATAAAAGCATATGTTCATAATTTTATTACTATATGTTCATAATTGTAAGTTCATAATGTCAGAATTCTGTGTTCATAATTTCATACCTGTATATTCATAATTCCATAACTGTACATTCATAATTCAATAACTGTAAATTCATAATTTTCGAAACTCTATGTTCACAATTTTAGAGCTCTATGTTCATAATTTTATCACAACATGTTCATAATTGTAAGTTCATAATGCCAAAGCTTTGTGTTATAATTTTCGAAGCTCTATGTTCACAATTTTAGAGCTCTATGTTCATAATTTTATCACTATATGTTCATAATTGTAAGTTCATAATGTCAGAGCTCTGTGTTCATAATTCCATAATTCCATAACTGTACATTCATAACATCATAACGGTACATTCATAATCCCACAACGAATAACGCCGTTAAAGGCGAGACAAAATCAACATTTTTTTTAAAACTGAAATGACGCGTTTTCCCTGAAAACGGCGTTGTTTTGGACTCATGTCCACAATGCATTGTGGACACGAATCCATGGCATAATTTGCGCACTTTTAAGTAAACCAAACTTCATTAATTAAGACGTGAAATCAAAGCACTACAAATAAAATGAGGAGGGTTAGAAGACTATTCTAAAAATAAAATCTCCAGTAATAAAGTGGTCGTTTGATTCGCAGATCGCGTAACAATAAAGATATACACATAAAAGAGTGATTCAGTAATATCTTTAACAATAAGGATCCCTTTGAAGACATGAAAAATGTTTTTCTAAAAAAAAAAAAAACTCATTTTTTTGTAAAAAAAAATAAAATAAAATAATAATAATAATAATAATAATAATAATAATAATAATAATATTTGACTAAATGTCAAAAGACTAACTTTTTTTTTTTCTTTTGTTTGAGTGAAAGTCAAGAAATTACATTTTTTTGTGTTTTGTTCATTTTCATGAAAATGAACATATTATTTGTTATATGATAATGATGTTGAAGTAGTGGTGATGGTGGCATAGTTGTGTTGGTGGTGGTGTGGTGGTAAGGATAGTGGTAATAATATAAAAACTAGAAAAGAGATAGAAGGCAGCTTAATTATTTTCAATGATTATTATCATTTTTAGGTGATTCTCAATTGTTTTGTTATATAATAAGGAGTAACTAATAAAGAGACAGAAGAGTGTTAAATAAACTCATCTATTACTGCGAAGTGCTCAATTCACACCACGAATTAAATTATGTGTCAAATAGGCTCATTTACCAACTAAATTTGTTCAATTAACTATTTTTACAGGTTGCTAACAGATTGTCAATTCAATTATTAGAATATATATATATATATATATATATATATATATATATATATATATATATAACCCAAAAAAAAAAGAAGAAGGCTCATGTTGAGCTAGTAGCAAAACTTCAAGGAGCCAGATTAGAGATTGAAAGACAAACCAAGGAACTGTACGTCAAGTCCAAGGAGATCTTTGAGGTGAGGCAGCTTTATGAGGAAATCAAGTCCATTTTACATGAAAAGGAATTGTTTCTCCAGTCTTAGTTCTGCTAATCAAAAGATGAGGGTGGATTACTGTGAGAAACTGGAAAATTGGAGGGGGGAAATAAAGAAATAGTGTTGGCTTTAGATGAAGCAACAACTAAGATTCAAGAACTGGAGTGAAAGGTTCGTGCCAGTGACAAAGAAATCAATGCTCTCAAGGAACTTTATCAGTCAGAAAGGAGAAGGGTGTTTGAAGCTCATGTTTGACAGCTCCTCGCCGGACACGGCTGTCTGTGAAATACGCAGCCACCGGCTGTCCGGCGCGAATAGTGGCTCGCTGAATTTTTTTATTTTTTTAAAATATATTTTTAATAATTGAATAGACAACCTGTTAGCAACCTGTAAAAAAAGCTAATAGAACAAATTTAGCTAGTAGATTAACTTATTTGACACTTAATTTAGTTCGTGGTGGGAATTGAACACTTGGCAGTAGTAGATAAGCTTATTTGACACTTCTCCATATATATTATTAACCTTAACAATCAATTATGCTAATATTTTTTAACTTAATATTAGAAGCCTAAATTTATTATTATTATGGATAAATGACAGAAATGTGGTGTCAACCAAGCGAAATTCCCAAAATGTGTCGCCTTTTTGTTTTTGACAATAATATGCAAAACTCCTTTGGGAGTTGCGTTTTTGGTGTATATTTTTTTTTCATGTATTTCTGTAAAACGCAAGAGGTAGTTGCGTTTACGTATTCTTATACGTAAGACGCATTACATTTTTGCGTTTTTCAACGTATACCGTATCCCTAAAAATGCAACTTACTTTTGCGTTTTACGTATTATACATAAAACGCAAAAGTAAGTTGCGTTTTGATCTTTTTTTCTACGGGCCGTCTCCGGCGAAGTTGAGGGACGGCGAGAACCACAAATCGCAATTAGCATATGCGTTTTTGGTGTGAATAGGTAAAACGCAAATGCGTTTTTGGTGTGATTCTGCTGCCATGGTTTGATCGGATCTCAAAGATACAGGAGGGGCGAGCTTTGTTGGAGCAGATTAGATTCAAAGAAATTGAGGAAGATGAACTGGGTTCGATGGGTCGACAAACAAATTAAAGCACGAATCTTTATAAGGACGACGGAGACACAACGTGTTTGTTATATAAACGCGAACTGGGTTTTGACTTTTTTTGCGCCGAAATTTACACGGATGAGAACGAATTCATTAGTTCTGTTACATTCTTGTTCGTTCTTCTAGAGACAATTCACCGTGAATGCTATTGAATTTGGTCATCAATGACGCATGATCAGTAATATCATGTTTTGAGTTTGCAACTCGCAAGTTTACAGCATCATCACATATCATCGAAAGATTCATGATATCCTTATTCTTCTGCTCCAACATTTCATCTAGGTCATGGACAGCAAGAATCAGCTCTGAATTTGACTCTTGAGTCTTCTGTAGTTGTATCTGAAGATTTGCATTAATTTCCTTCTGATAATTCAGTTCTTGTCTAAGTTCATCGACAATATCTTGAACATCCTTGCTGTCAGGACATAACTTCTTATCTTTAGATTTTGCATCAGTATTTAAAAGTATAATACGTAAAACGCATCTCCCAATACGTAATACGTAAATGCGTTTTAACATATTCAATACGTAAGGTGACAACGCATCTGGGAGAAAACGCAACTACCAATTGCGTTTTAAGTATTTAAGGAAAAAAAAAATACGGCTGAAATACCTTAAAAAACGCAACTGGTAATAGAGTTTTACATATTTCTGTCAAAAAAAAGTCAGCACACATTTTGAGAATTTCTCATATTTAAGTCATTGATCCTTATTATTATTATTATTATTATTATTATTATTAGGTCAAAGTACATGTAAGGTTAATATATTGTTTTTTTTTTTTTGAGTATTATTGACTTTGTTATAATGTAGTATCTGTTTATATTATATTTTATTTTATTAAACATTTAAAAGTAATTAAACAAAAGATTTTAACCCCTCAATCTTCCATGAAAATAATATAACTTTATTTCACGTTGCTAAGTATCCAACTCAATATTATTATGTGAAAACTAAAAGGCATCTTACGTTGAGAGTTATATGTAGTTTCATTTGTATGACTCTTTTTTAAAGTGTCATACAAATAAAAATGAACTTAAATGTAAAAGATTTGAAGATGGTTAAAAGTACATGAATTATTACATTGTCTTCAATTACAAAATTTGAAGTAGATAAATTAAAGGAGTAATACATAGATTTTCATATTTTATTATACTTTTTTATGACTATGGAATTATTATGCAATCATTTTTTGAAAATAAAAGACTAATTCATTAATAGAAACGTTTACAATACAGATCAGATACATTCTTTACAATCAGAGAAACAAATTATCTAGCAATGCTACAGAAAACTTGGATCGCAGAGTGTTTTAAAAAGTTGAAGCTGAAGTTGTTGGATGAACTCGACGCATCTTCACAAATCTGGTCAAACATAGGCAAGTCTGACTCTGGTGTGACCATTTTATCATTCCACGCTTATGAGAAGAACTCGCCAAAAAAACGAGATAGAAACACTCACCAAATAGACAAGAGGAAACAAACTAGTCAAAGGAACAAATGGATAATGTAGAACCAAAAGAAAGCAAAATAAATGGAAAAGAGGGTAGAAAACATGTCAGATCTGGAGAGTCTCTGAAACCTTCTCTGAAAACAATAAGAGATGATTTGAGATCTAACATTTATTCCTAAAACAACCGGATGATGGAGTCTACTAATGGCACCGCCAGCTCAACACTCCATCAGAGCGTGGCTAGCAGCACCAAGTCGTAGGGGCTTTACCTATTGGGAGCAGACGTAAATGGAAAAGAAAGCAAAGTTAGAGAGATTAGTAATGGTTTTTATTATGCAATCATTATTTAGAGGTGCGTACTTATAGACTAAAAAAGTCCTTAATAACTCTAGCGAGCAAAGAATGATAATGAGGGATAAACCAATTTAGATTACTCATAATTGGTTGATTTAAACCAAGAAGGTTAATATGCTAAAGTGTGAACCTTATGATTACCAATTCAATAGCCCAACCAACTCGACTTGGGTTGCATTTAGCGCCAACTAGTTCTTAAAGTGTTCCAAACAGTGTTCTTGATTCAGGTTCCTGCTCCAGAACTTACTGTAATACTCTGGATATGTAAAGTCCCGATACACTGCCGGTGATTCGTCGTCGAGGAGTGGTTTAGGGGCGCTGATCACGGCGTCCTCGCCGGGGCAGAGAAAGGAAGCCACCGACATTCGTGGTTTATCTGTATTCACTATAGCTCTATGCCACACACTCTTATACTTCCCGTTGCTGAGAGCCTGCAGAAGAAGACGAAAGCATTTTATTTGGGCTAAATAAATTGAGGCCCACTTTACAAATTAGGCTTCTTAATTTATATAATGTAGATTCATAAAATTTATAATGTAAATTCATAATTTTTATATTACACTTTTATAATTTCTGTAGTGTAGATTCATAATTTTTATATTATACATTCATAATTTCTATTACTAATAATTATAATAAGTCTATACAGAAGGGTGGCGGTGCTTACCTGGAGTTGGTCGCCGATGTTGATGACGAAAGCATCCGGGCGGGGTTTGACGGCCAACCACTTGCCGTCCTTGAGGACCTGAAGGCCGGCGACCTGCAAGTCTTGAAGAAGAATGGTGAGCGCATTCGGGTCGGTGTGAGCGGGTAACCCGTACGTCAATTCGGGTTCGGGGCATGGCGGGTAGAAGTTGACCGCCATGTGTTGACCTTGCTCGCCCAGCACGTTCTTGAAACATTGTGGGTCCAGCCCTAAGCTTTCTGATATGGCTTCCTCTATTTTGAATCCCACCTGTCGAACTTCCGTCACGTAAATTTTAACCACATCCCTGACGATTCCACCACAATAATTTTGCATTAATTAACGTTAAAAAGTTCGTATTATTCCACCTTTATCACGCCAGACATAATAAGAATACATTCTTAAATCTTAATCAACCAATGTAATTAAAATATAGACACGAGCGAGAATCCACCCAGAAAAGTACGATGACGATCAAGATTCTGTATGAGAAAAAGCCCACTCCATAAACTATGATTTTGCAACTTGGGACATATATATATGAGACAGATCAGGTGAAAAGCACATGTTTAATAGAGAATTAAGAATTAATCGCATCTGTTCATATGTTCAATTCAGATCTAATGGATTATAAACACAGTTTTTTAAAAATATATATATGGTAATATTTTCGTAAATAATTGAACTTTGAAATGTAAGTAAATTGTGCTAAAAATAGGGTGGTGTTTTTGTTATTTATTATTTAATACTATTGTCCTTTGATAGATGCGAAATCCTAGGTTTCTTGGCAATCCAACGGGTGTCAACACAACTATTTGGAGTCCATTTCATACTTTGCCCTAATGGGAATGATATCACCTCGCATAAAATAATATAGATGCTCCTATATATACTTGTCATATTGTGTCGACTAGAAAAGGTCTCCTTGCCTTTTCTACTCAACAAATCAACTAAAAAGTATTCATGAATTATTATTACGCGTAAATTTTTCAATATAAGACAAAGTCTATATGCAACCAACTAATGATGATTTAGTTTCAAAGAAAACCTAATCTATCAAAATCACTTTTGAACATAGTGAATGATAATGATATGTCTGTGGTTGAATTAACACTCCATTTCATATTTGAACATGAAATTTATATTTATTGGTGATAGTCTGATAGGACGGCTTAACTAGCTCAACAATATGTAATCAAACCTATTGAGTATGTCTCATATAAGAAATAGGAATGGAGCGGATTGGTTGAGCCCATAATATATACATAGATATTTTTGTACTTTTATATATTTAGGGTTGCATCTAAATATGATGCTTGTACCATGAATGTTGATCATTACCATCACAATCAATAAAGAATAGCTACATTCTCGTGAATGTAGACACATTGCCTAACAACGTAAATCTTGACTTCTTTACTTTTTATCATTGTTATTGTTTATTGTTCTTGCTAATATCAACAAATTAGTATCAGAGCACTGTTGAGATGATCCGTTCGAGTTCAAAATTTGAAGTATCAAAATTTGATGATACATGAAAATTTAGGTTATGGCAGTCTAGAGTTAAGGGATTTTTTTTCACAACAGATTTTGTAAAAACCTTGAAAGCAGAAAAACAAGCTAATATAACAGAGGTTGATTGGGAGCATTTGAAGGATCGCGCAGCATGAACCATTCCATTATGCCTCACAATGAAATCATGTATCACATTTTGACCTTGGCAACCCCAAAAAAAATTTTCAGATGCATTAGAAGGCCAGTTGATGGAAAAATTTATGACAAACAATTTGTATCTAGAGCAGAGGTTTTACAAGCTTAAGATGTAGGAGGGTTCAGTCTTGGCACATTGTATAAATCTCTTCAGCCAAATAATCTTTTATCTAGTTAGAGTCAAAGTAGGTTTTTCGATAAGCTTTTTGAAAAATTCATTTTGCATGTAATCAGCTATCAGCTAATAATTAATTGCTAATAACTAATTACCAAACATTTTTATACAATCAGCCAATGCTATTAACCAGTGAAACCAACTAACCCAAGTAGTTAACAACTATCAGCTAACAACTATTTACCAAACATCCCTATACCTTGTGACTATCACCAAAGCAAAAATGATAAATTTATTTTAAATTAATTCATCAATTAGACGGTGTCTGAAAGTAGGGGTGTCACTGTGGACCGGACAGCCCCACCCCACCGCAGACTTTTTTTTTTTTGCAGGCCGGCCCGCGAATCCCACGGGCAAGAATTATGCCACCATAACCACCCCATTCGTGCTCACGGGCCTAATTTCAAAAATAAAAAATTATTATTTTATTATTTTATATTCAAATAATTTATCCTAAATTAATTTTTTTTGTGTTTAAAATTTTAAAAATGTACATCTTTTAAAATTTTAATGCTCTATGTGTGTGTGTTATTTATTTATTTATGAAAGTCCGTGGGTCAGTCCACGTAGCCTGCCAACCCGCGCGGGTCAAGCCCACAAGGCCGGTATTTTCACGAGCCAAAAATTATAGTCCCTTCGTCCCAAATTGGTTGATACATTTATTTTTTGCACGTTTATTAAGGAATTAAAGTAAATGATTATATTTTTCAATTATACCCCTCACTTTTCTCACTTTTGAAAATAAAATAAAAAAGAAAGAAAAATTAATAAGGGTAAATTAGAAAATGTAAAAATGATGATGATGTTCAATTTTAAAATGATGATAATATTTTGGGACAAACTAAAAAAAAAAAAAAAAAGTAAGACATGTAAAATGAACGAAAGAAGTATGTTCTAACCCGTTCCTGCAGGACGGTTTAGGGCTGGTCTGCGGTTTCGACCGAGCTCGACACCCCTAAAGCTTACTACTTATATGGCCATTTCTCGACGTCAACAATGTTGGGTTCAGCTGACGTCACCCATCTGCAAAAGCGCGTTTTCCCTACCTCATAACTTCACTACGTCACGATTGCATCATCCTTTGATATCATTGCATACCTCACCACAAACAGCCGTGTGGTCCGTCGCGATTTGGCAGCATGTGCGGCGAGAGGTTCTAGAGAATCGGGCGGCACAGCCCCATTGATGATTGATCTTTCCAATATATACACATCCCATGTGATGTGCCTTACATATTTATTTTATCGCCTACTTCATCTACAAATTTTCTACCATCACAATTCTTTTATCTACGTACAACTTGTCATTGAGAACGACAACCCAGATGTCATTTTGTGATGTCATAGCAATTTGCACAAGTTTTAGCAACTTCAATTCATGCAGCCCGGGCCCATTTCAAACTTTCACACAACTATTTAACCATGGTAATGGTAATATTCCATTTACGTCTTGTCAAGAATACTATCCACAATGATGTCAAGCGGGCCCGTCCGCTCAATTTCGGGCTAGTCCTGTCGAATTATCGGACTAATCAGTTCGAGCTAACCGGTTTATTAATATATTGTTCTCCGGTTCGGTTTGACCCTAATCCTAAAATTCGGATTGTGGGGCTAATCAGGCGGGTTGAATCATCTGAACTAAAATTAGAAACTGAAAGAGAGTACTCATATTTCTAATAGAGATGGCAACGGGGCGGCGGGAACTAGAAGTATACTCCCTGTCTCCATCCTCAGCGGAAATCGAAAATAGTCTCCATCCTCGTCCCCGTGGAGAATTTGGCGGAGACGGAGAATCCCCGTCCTCGGTCGATTTTTAGTCAAAATATTAAATTAATGTAATTTTAAATTTTAAAAAACTAAATACTTAAATTTAAATTTAAATTTATATATATATATATATATATATATATATATATATATATATATATATTTATTTATTTATTTATTTTAATTATAATAATTATTGAGTTAATACCCAAAATTATCCTGACTATAGTGGTTTTCTCAATTTCGTCCTAAACGATTTTGGTGACCTAATATAGTCCTAGACTTTTTGTGTTTCACTCAATTTAGTCATCCGTTTGTTATTTCATCAAATTGGTGTTAAATAAAGGGACAATTCAATAATATCAATATTGACATCTCTTTACTTTCAACCTGCAAAGTGAGAAATCACTCTTTCTTGTAAGAATTACACCCAGCATTACTCTCAGGCCTACGAATCAAATTTTATATTTGCAGGTTTATGAGTGATTCTGGGAGTAATTCTTTAAAAAAAAAAAAAAAAAAAAAAAAAGGGGGGGTTTTGCACTTCACATGTCTATGAGTAAAGAGATGTCATTATTAAAATTACTGAATTGCCTATTTATTTAACAACAAATGGATGGAAGAACAAACGAGGGACTAAATTGAGCAAAAATACAAAAGTCTGGGACTAAATTGAGTAAAAACACAGAACTTTGGGACTACATTAAGTCACCAAAGTCATTTAGAACAAAATTGAGAAAAACCACTATAGTCGAGTAACATTTTGAGTATTAACTCAATAATTATTACATATATGTTAGGTTTTACATCACTTTTATAATAAAGAATAATTTTCAATAGTTCGGGTTATCGGGCTAGCCCTTTTAATTTCAGGCAAGTCCTATCGGGCCATCAGGCTTATCGGTTTCGGGCTCATCGGGCTAATGTCTTTTATCGGACTAGCCCGGTTAGACCATAGCTCTGTCAGTTTCGATTTTATCGGGTCGACCCATCAAGTTCGGGCTAAATTGACATCCCTAAGTATCCATACAATAATTTGCATATTGATATATTCGAGGGATACCCAACCATATCTCTATGCTCCATGTATGCTAATACTACTCCTTCCTAGTTCCTAGGCATAACCATGTGATCACTAAAAAAATGATGGCTATACTAATCACAAATATGATAGAAATAATGACTTGAATAGGATAGCTATTAAATTAGCATAAATGGAATGTGACAATACGCGTTTAATATATAATAAATGCATAAGATAGAGATGCATAATATGTCAACTTTATGTGTCTAAACAAATTAGACACATAAATTTATATATCATGATTGATTTCAACGAACTATAGGATTTATAAATGGTTGAGAATTTTATTATAAAAAAATTATAATTAATTTTATAATTGTTAAAAACTTTTAAGTTTGTAATATGCAAAAAAAAAAAAAAAAGGTGAAATTGGTTTTCTAAGTGAATCTGATAGTGCATTGAGATTTCGTAAGTACAACAAACTTCATTTCAAATTAATGACCTTGTGGTCTAAGTAGCACGATCAAATGGAGGTCATGGGTTTGAGCCTCATTGGAGCGCTATTGACTCTTTATGCTTCAGCATGTTGCTTCAGCATGTTGAACAGATACTATATTGTAACAGAATCAGTAGTACTCTACAAAAAATTCAGTCCCAAAACGACCTGTTTAGTATGTGTTTCTGGGATGGATACATGTCTTCTTCTTCTTTTTTTTTTTTTTTTTTTTTTTTTTTTTTTTTTAATTTCTGTTTTTATTATTTTCTTGTTTTTATTTATTTTTATTCAATTTTTATTTTTAAATATAGTTATCCGAATATATAAAATTGGATGATGACTCATTTACTCTTTCATATTTGCAATTGTAGATGGGCTTTCTTTCACCGTGACATGGTGAAGAATAATTAAGGGATGAGAAGGAAAAGTGCAGTGAGATACCTGAGAGTAGGGGGATTGGAAGGCCATTCAGGAGCATATTTTTGAAGAGGATAACAGTGAAGTCTGAGATAGTCTCTCCAGTTATGAACGGTCTCCTTTTTAACATTAAAGCTAGTGGATAGTCGCATGGTCTTTGATGGGTCGTCGGAGTAGAGCTTCATCTTCTCCTCCACCGATAGGTTGAAGAACTCATGGGCTACCTTTAACATATCCTCTATTACTTTCTTTGGAACCCCATGGTTTATTACCTATGAATAAACAAAATTTTTGAATAAAAATTCATTAAAAAAAAAAAAAAAAAAAAAAACTCTGTTTGTGTGTGTTTCTATCTGGTGATACAAACCTGGAAGAATCCGTAATGGCGGCAGGCATCGCCTATTTGTCGGACAATAAAGCTTCTGTCCCCGCAGCCTAAATCAATGACCGGAACATCGTCGCAGGTGGTTACTTCCGACAGCTTTGGCCTTTCGGATTCCGGGCGGATATATTTCTGGGGAAGGGTGGAATATGGGGTTCCACTGAAGAGAAGTTGTGTAGTCATAGAATCCGGTCACCGGAAGCTTAAAAGATTATAGAGTTATCGATTGTGCAGCTGAATCTTTGGTGTGAATCATAGTGGTATTATCTTCCTTTTATAGACACCCCAATTTTCACTCATCCTAGCTGGAATTTAATGCAATTTGTAAGTGGTAACTAGAGCTGTCAAAAGAGACTTTGTTCAGCAGACCAACTTGATAGGCCCGTGATATGAATAAGGAGTTGGTATCGATTTTGATGGCTCACAAAAGAGTGGGCCTCCCTGAGAGTGCGGGACAAGCCATTGAGGCTCGTGGGTCGGCTAATTCTTAATTCTTTAATTTTTACTTTTCATTAAACCTAATTCCAAATTTCTTATTGGATGATAGTAGCAAAAAATAAATTACAGAGTATAATATTATATTACCCTACATTAGAATATTGCTATATATTAGAGACTAAAGATTTACCGTGTATAAAAAAACAATTAGGTTGGTTGACTCGTTCAACCGGTGGGCCACGAAGGTGACGGGTGGAGCCAACATACAATAGGCTTGTTAAGTAGCGGGCATCATGGCCCGCTAAGTAGTGGGCCTCATAGGCATGTGCCACCCTGTCGGGCCACATTGACAGCTTAGACAAGATATATGCAGACCACTGGTTGCTTCTATTATTAAAAAAATTAATATTTATGTCATGATAATGAGAATAATATTGATAAAAGGTAGATTTACCATAATATTGAGAGATGGTGAATGAATTCTAGTGTAACTAGAATATAGAGTCCTAATGCCCCGCTCAAGCTAAAGGTTCTCTAAAGAGATAAAACATTGAGTTTGTTCTTTTGATCATTGAATCTTGTTGTGGTTAGTGGCTTGGTGAAAATGTCTGTCAGTTGGTCTTTTGTAGAAATGTAATTTACCTTTGTAATTACTTTCAAGCCACTTTGTCGCGAACAAAAAAAAAAAAAAGAGTACTGTAACTACTGCCAAAGACCTTGTGGTCAACGTAACCAGCATAACTGTGGCTCTCCCGAATGGGATGTCACATGTTCAAATACCAATAAGACTTTGACTATTTATTCATTAATAGGTTAAGAAAATAGATATAGACAAATACTACATTATAATAAAGTAATAATACTATTTTTAAAAAATATTCTAACGTAACTACGTACTCTATGTTAATTAGAGATAAAACTACACCTATCATCTAATCAAAAGACTAAAATTACAATTCTCTCAATATAAAAACAATTTGAGATTCATCTAAACATTAAATTGTATACAATGTCGACATTATTCAGATTTGAGCCGTCATAAAGAAAGGGAATTTAAAACTCATGATAAATCACCAACCCACTGGTGGTGCATGTCCACTCGTCGGCCACATACATGATTACGCCGGAATTTCTTTGCGTCTGCTTTTGTTTTTATTACTTCTAATTTCTAAAGGCGGAAATTAAAGTTACCAGAAATTTCCGGCGGTACAGAATAAAGCATTAATGCGTCGACGTACTCCACTTGAAAGTCATCTGTATGGAGAATCACTTGAGGGAATACGTTATATTCCTAATTAAAGTGATTAAGATCGTTTCTTAAAAGTTTTTACCAGGACTGTATTTTAGATTTTTGTGTTCCCGTTTTTATAAATAAATGAGCCTAATTTAGTTTTTGATTCATAAAAGTTGAAGATTCGATAAAGATGAAAATTGAATTATGTCAAAGATTTGAACGATTTTGTCATAATCATGCTCAATTAATTATGAGAGAGAAGTGAAAATTGAATTGCAACTTTGGTAATCAAATAAATTTAGGAGAAAGTTGTAAAATTAATGGAGGAAGGAAGAATCTTCTTCCAAAGGCTGACCCCAACTCTAACAGGGCGTTTGGTTGGAGGGATTTTAAATTCCCTTCCCACTTAATTCCCACCTAATTCCAAAGGCCATTAAATTCCGTAGTTTGGTTGGAGGGAATTGCAATTCCATGGAATTGCAATTCTCCCAATTTCATGGAATTAAAATCCCATGTCCCCCCCTGGTATTTTAATTCCTGGGAAAAAAAGATAGTGATGAATCAAAATTACCCCTTCCTTTTTTAACCTAAAATTAATGTCTAACAACAATAATGGACATTTTTTACTTTATACTACTTATTCCCTTTCAATTTCCATGTATACCAAACATTGGAATTGAAATTCCCAGTGATACTGCTAATTATACGCAAGCAATATAAAATACCCGAGACCGTTTAAAGCAAATAAAAGACTTTATTGATCACGGTAAAGGCCCTAAGTACAATCTACTTGGTTGCTCTGAGTACCGACTGAGTGCGGTCGGGATTCTCTAACAACAACCTATCGATCGTCCAAAAGTCCTTTACACTGTAGCTACTGTGGGTATTTATAGCCGCTATGCCGGGGACAGGATTCCAGCCGTTCGGCATGTCCTCCACGTAGCCACCACGTGTCATCCTCCCGGGTACCCTGCCTGTCGATGTAGAGAGCCGCCATGTGTCCTTCGTCAGCTCTCTCGCCAAAGGGCTACCGCTCGGTGGTTGACATCATCGTTCGGGCAACTCCCGGTCGGACCCCGACCGAGTTCTTCACAAGGAGCCCGACCTGTTTACCTGCAAAGACAAAGAGAAAAGGACAAAGGCATCTCGGTCGTGGTGAAGCTATGTCGGTCGGGATATTCCCTACCACCCAGTAATTCTATTCCTGTCAACCAAACACTGGAATTTAAATTCTCACTTTATTCCCAGTAATTCAACTCCCATGGAATTACAATTCCTTTCCCACATAATTCCCCCACTCCAACCAAACGCCCTGTAAGAGGAAGGAAGAATCTTGCCCTCTTCAATGGTGGTGAGTGATTTGAAAAAAAAAAAAAAAAAAAAAAAAAAAAAACTGATGAGTTTTAGACAAGATAGAAAGATGTGTGAAGGAACGTGGACTAAATTGCAAATTTTTATTTATTTATTTCTTAAGCAGTTAGGTCAAAAATAGATATTGGACCTTCTAAAATTGAGGCCTTGTACTGTTGAGCATTATTCACAGACTAAAAACTGATCCTGATTTTTACCTTAATTGCTCCTTAATTGATAAATTTGGTCAACAAATTATATATATCATATTATTTTATTAAGGGCTGGTCCTAAAATATTAAAGGTCTTGTGCACTTTCACACTGCTGGAAGCTAAGCAATAATTTGAAGTTGGAGGATAGCAATCAACACAAATAAATACTCAAATAACAAAGGACTTAGGAAGAGGTAAATCATGATTCAAATGTCATGACTAGAGATTAAGGGGAGATAAACTCAATGTTGAGATCCAAAGTTACCAATCACCAATTCAGTACCTAATATGTCACTTTGTGATCTATGCAAGATCGAATTGAATGGCGAGGATTGTGTCACTGTTGTGATGCATCAATCCCCTCAACAAAATCCAAGCAATCTAGTCCCTACGGAAAAAGGGATTGTGGGATGGGGATTTGGAATGTCAACTCAACTTTCATTGTGGTTAAATTTTCCACAAACTTAGTGTTAATGATGTTTTGCACAACACCTTAATACAAGAATACATAGGATCTCCTACAACATTTGGAACCATGGATTGGTTTTTACCATTTCCATGCAATAGAAATCAAATAGCTGGCATTACAATCTCTTGTTAACCTCAATCCCATGTCCTAAATAAGACTAGTTACTCGTTATTTTAGTTCATAATGCAATAACATTAAAGTAAAGCATCATAAAGGAACACTAGAAAACAAAGCAATAGACATTTATCTTGAAAAATAGAATGAATCCACAATCCCTTTTGGAATCAAATATGCAAAATAGGAGAATCTATCATGTTGGAAGAAGGGGAAAGTTATTTCTTGACCTAATATATATTTGAAATCTCCCTCTATTCTTTCTACCCTACGCTATTGTTCACTATCTCTATAGATTTTTCTTTTTAGATCTGGAAATGACAAAACAAATCACACATCAGGGCTCAGCGCAAGGTTATCGACACGAGTTTGTCGAAGCCCGTCTAAGGTGATGGTCACATCACTAGTGTGACGACGCACGTGACCAGAGCAAGTCCTCCTTCACAGGCATGATGACGTCCATGACTACTGCTAAAACCGTGCGACGTCCTTTTATGCTCATTTTCACGTGTTCTCTTCCCTGTCTACCTCTAAGGGATCTTCTGCTTAATTGCTTCATCTTCACTTTATTGTTCAATTAAGAAATATTATACATAAATTCACATTAATACGGTAGTTGAATTTTCCTATTAAACATATCATTTTATGCACCAAATAAGTAAAAACATGGGATAAAATATCGGGAAAAATAGGTGTGATCTAGTATCTAGCATTAGTCATCTCATAATAGCCAACCATAAAAACATTAAAAATGTGGTTCCTCCATTAATTTAGAGTAACGCACAAATATAAAAATTACAATTTAAATAACAACAATAGGATTATATAAAAGTTGGTAATAATAAACTATCTTCGGTATTAAGTATCTTCTGACCTGATGTCCTTATTATTACCTTTTATAAAGAAGGTTTTAGGTTTGAATTACATTTCAATTAAAGTTGGAAAAATTATTTAACATCCCCAATTAGTGTTTGTTTGCAAGGAAAAAAAAAAAAAAAAAAAAAAAAAACTCACTATCAAATTATCTGTGGTAGTTGAACTTCTTCTGTCACCAAGTCATCACGAAAGTGAAACTCCACAAATATTTAGTCTATCTTTATTTATTTATTTTTGTAGTATGAAGAGAAGAAAACATTTTGCATTTCTAAAACATGTTCGCTGTGTATCACACCAACTATTTTATTTTAATTTAATTTAATTTAATTTAATTTATTCACTGCAAAAAAAAAAAAAAAAAAAATAGAAGCTAAGTTAAATTAGCCAACAAAAAAAATTTAATGGTATATTCTTGGAATCTGTACGTATTTAATTTACCAATGAAAATAATTTGGTTGGTAAAACATCAAAATGAATAGACATTTAAGCTAAGGGTAACATTTGTGTGAGACCGTTTCACACAAGTTTTTGCCATATTTAATTTAAATAAATAATTTTTAGTTTTTTGTTTATTTATTTTTTG